ACATTCACATTCGCAAAAATATTCTTGGGAAAAATATGATTCAATCTATTCAGCAAGTTAAGGAGCAGAGAAGAGTTGGCCACACTAGCCGTGTTTAGAGAAAGACATCTCAAATTCAAAACAACGACTTTCGCACAATTGCTATAAAACCCAGCCGGCGCACATACTATACGGATTTTGAAATATTATAGCGTTCAATATTAACTGTGGCGCAGGGTTGTAGACTATGATTTCAGCTGAAGTCGAATAAAAAAAAATGAAGTATATCATAAGCAACGGAGAACCACTTTTGACAAGAGAAAAGAGAAGTGTTATCAAATGAAAACAGGAGGGACGAGATCGTCGCCCTGTGATTGTAGAAAGGGAAAACAAGAAGGAGCAATGCCAATATAGGCAAGAGGGATGAGAAATTACTTGGCAAATTCGGACTGTGAATGCGGAGATAAAAACGGATCCAATTGTTCACGGCCAATGATGAGATGTATAAATAATATGCAATTATTAAAAAAAAAACAGAAATGTGACAATATTAATTTATATGTCATTTGTGTCCTTTTTGGCACAAAAGAATTATCACTCACTCCCTCACGCACGCGAACGCACATTCACAGACACGGACACATATGTGTGTATCTATGCGTGTCGGAAGTCAACTCGCAGCCGAGTAAGACCATCACTTGGACTCAAACTTTCTTAATTTTTCACACATCCTGACAATTATCATTTCATCGTTGATGACATCTCAAATGGCTTTTAAGACTTGCAAGTATCCTGTATTCTTCCCATTAGAATGTCGTGTGAGTCCGCTTGCTGACTGACACACTTTAGGGCAGATTGTGTATTGATATCCACACACACACACACACACACACACACATATACATATATATATATATATATATATATATATATATAATTATTATTACTTGATATGTTATTTTTAGTGGATAGCCATATTTGAGTAGAGGCTTCTGTATTTAAACAGCGCTTAGTCTACCGGCTTGCATACTCGAGAAAACTTAATAAAGACATATCTCTTCCTTTCGACAAGATTCTAACCTATATTCCATTCTGAGGCAGAAATCACTCTCTAACCAGGCGTGCTTTAACGGCTCGGCTAACGAGAGTATCACAGTCAAGCAAGGCCATATCTGCCTTCATGAATATTCACTCATTTTGATTTTCTTCAGTTTAGCATCACAAACTTAAAGAAATCTCTTAAATTATTTTAATTCATTTTTTTATCCAGCATATCATATTTTTTATTACATTAAACGTTATTTCTTTATTATTTTTTTTTTAAGTGGGCAGGCCGATAGACGAAACAATAATAAAAAAAAAATAAAACACATTTACTCAAATACGGGTATTCACTAAAAATAACCGTTGATGTAGGATAATATTTTGTTTTAATCATTTCACTCCAAGCAAGGCTGAAGTACCATTAGTTGGCAGGGTGCTACAGAAAGTGGAAATAAGAGAAAAGACCAGGGGATTGAGTAAAAAATAAAAGATGAACGGTGTTCAAGTGAATAAAAGATAGCGGTTGATGTTGCAATTAGGATTTTGAACATTGTAGTTATCGGGGAAGCAAGTAAGTGGAAGGGAGTTCCACTGTCGGGAAGTGCGAGAAAAAGAACTGCTGGAGCAGAAGTGCCAGTTACATTAAACTATTTCAACAGTAATAGAGTATGTCCCTAGATGACAAACTAGTAGCACACTTAAATTCATGCCGTCGGGGCACCAGAGGAAAAAAAAGCTCGTCTGAGAAGTTGCCAGGAAAATATTTGTAGAAAGACGTAGCCACATCATGTCTGTAAGAAAGTGACTGAAGTTGACATGCCAAGACAGGATCGATTACGTTGTAGATCCTTCTTTGTATTTTGTTAAGAACCCCGAGATGAACAGCAGGAGCCAGATATGGAAACACTATTCAATGGACAGACGAATGGTAGATTTGTAAATGGGCAAAATGATACAGCTATTGATTCAATGTAGGTGTCAGTGGAAAATGTGAGGCGAAGAAGGTACAGTGAAACGCTCTCCTCGAGTCGAGCATCAGTTATGCTGATGGCGGGATGGGAAGTTTCTCTATGCTAGTTATTAGGTTGGTGCAAAAAATAATGACGTAATAATGTCGTTTTTGACGTTAAAAATACGTCAAAAAACGACATTATTACGTCATTATTTTTTTGCACCAACCTAATAAATATGAGCAGTTAAATTTTGGAGGTATTCAAATTTACAAGCTATTTCCTACCCTTAACCCCTGGTTGGAGGCCCTTTTGAAGAGCAGCGGCCTGGTTAACTTTGCCAGCTCTAACGAATTTGTCAATTAGAAAGGAGTATATGGTAGTGTCAGCTGCATAAATGCCTAGTTAGGAAATGAAAACACCAGGAAGATCATTGATGGAGCCCAGAAACAGCGTAGGTCCATTATAAAGCCTGGAAGGACGCCCGCGTTTGTGCGAAAGGATCTGGAAGTTAACCCGTTCAGAACAACTTTCATTTCACTATTTCATAGGAATGATTGTATTAAATAAAACTCTCGTCCTGTAATACCGTATCCCTGAAACTTACGTAGAAA